TAACTAAACACAAAATTGATTTTTTTCCCGTCGTCAAAAGGGTAAGAAGAGACCTTTCCCCTTTTCACTTTCCTTAGAGCATTTCCTTGAGAAAATTTCTATTTGTAAGCCTCTGTTCACCCTATAACCCAGGAATGTCTTGAACTTGAACTCCAGGCCTCAAGTGATCCTCCAGCCTCAGCCTCCTCACCCGGCCCCCAGGAAGGTCTTTCTTGAGGGCCTTGGAGCCATCTCTTTGAAATGTGAACATTGAGGAAGATGATGTCATTGTCTCCCTGTCACTAGGGGAGTTTAGCCTAAGTGACTTGCTCCAAGCTGTAAGCACCTGCTTGTCACAGAGATATGAGTTTTATTTTTCTTTCAGATAAGGGCAGTTAACTAGCACAGATTCGTACTCCAATTACTTGGTGAACTTAGGACTTGCCTGGGAGTATTTAGTTTTCATCCTTGGCTGCTACTGTATAATCAGGCCAGTGAGCCACATACCTGAAATTTCTGGTTTCTGCTGCAACTTTTCTTTGTTTGTTTGTTTTTGAGAGGGAGTCTCCCTCTGCTGCCCAGGCTGGAGTGCAGTGGTGCGATCTCGGCTCATTGCAGCCTCTGCCGCCCAGGGTCCAGCGATTCTCCTTCCTCAGTCTCCTGAGTAGCTAGAATTACATGCATGGGGCACCATGCTAGGCTAAATTAGGATTTTTAGTAGAGATGGGGTTTTACCATGCTCACCAGGCTAATCTTGAACTCCTGACCTCATGATCCACCTTCCTTGGCCTCCCAAAGTGCTAGGATTACAGGCTTGACCCACCACACCTGGCCTCTATGACCACTTTTGGATTGTAGGAAACACTACACTCCAAACTGTGTGATCTGGCTTCCAGATCTGGCTTCCAAGACAGCTGCCAAAGGGGAAGGTGATGCAGTCTAGAAGTGTGGGGGAGTTCGTGCCTGTGGGGTAAATTTTGACCAATTGGAAAAAGAACCAGGAGTGAGAGCCAGGTACCTAAATTCCCTCTCCTCTCCTCTCCCCATGCACTGGTCCAAGAATAATTTCTCAGTATAGTCTGTCTAGAGGTGTCCTGTATGGCCCAAAGCCTGTTTCTTTGGGAACCTGAGCTAAAGTAATGGGAATCCACACACTCGAAGACAGTGTTAAGTGTTGCGAAGGACCCAGATACGGGCAGAGGAAAATTACCCCAATAAGGAAAAGGACAATTTGGGGATCTGGAACAGAGGGAAGGACTAGAAAAAAAACAGTCGTAGAATAGCTTATGGGTAATATTTTTGGAGAAAAAGGCAGTTCTGGTGATTTTTGCAGTGAACTGCCCAGCTCGATAAAATATATACTTCCTTTCTTTCCATCAGTCTCCCCTATGAAATCTTCCATAAATTATCCTTTTATCACTATCTATTGCCTGTGAAGTGAATTTTCCTTTTTTCTTTTTCTTTTTTATTTAGAGGTAAAGCTGTCACCCGGGATGGAGTGCAGCAGCGCAATCTCGACTCACTGCAGTCTCTGCCTCCCAAGTTCAAGTAATCCTGCCACCTCTGCTGCCCTAGTAGATGGGACTACAGGCCCGCGCCACCAATGCCTGTCTAATTAATTTTATTTTATTCATTTATTTTTTTTTATTTTGTATTTTTAGTAGAGATGGGGTTTCACCATCTGGGCCAGGCTGGTCTTGAACTCCTGATCTCAGGTGGTCCATGCACCACGGCCTACCAAAGTGCTGGAATTAGAGCTGTGAGCCACCACACCCAGCCTGTCAGTTTTCTTTTGGAGAATAAAACAGATTAAGTCTTGTGCCAAAATGCAGGGACGCCGCATTCAGAGAGGTAACAATATATTATATACAATAATAGATAGGTTTTGTACATACCAATAATAACCATTTAGAAAACCAAATTGAAAAAAATTACACTTATATAGTGACAAAAATACATAAAATATCTAAAACCAGATGATTGGAGCAAGACGGCAGGTAGATCCCGTGCCCCACTCAACATTCCACTGCACTGGGAAGAAAACGTTTTCAAGGGTCAATTCTTAACAGTAGAGGAAAATAGGAAAACGTGTCAGTGGTCCACCAGAAATATTGAGGCATTCTTGGGAGATAGAGTAGATGGGATCAGACTGATAGAGAAACCCAAGGAGAACAGACCACAGCTCAAATCACTGTAGGCAAGAGATGCTGTTTGTTTTTTGAGACAGAAACTTACTCTGTCACCCAGGGTGGAGTTCAGTGGTGTGATCTCGGCTCATTGCACCCTCTGTCTCCTGGGTTCAAGGGATTCTCCTGCCTCAGACCCTGCAGTAACTGGGATTCACAGGTGCCCACCACCAAGGTTGGCTAATTTTTGTATTTTTAGTAGAGATAGGGTTTCGCCATGTAGGCCAGGCTGATCTCGAACTCCTGACCACAAGTGATCTGCTTGCCTTGGCCTCGCAAAGTGCCGGGATTACAGTGTCAGTCACTGTGCCCAGCCAGGAGATGCTCTTTGTAACAAAGCCTATGAAAAACTCTAAACCCAGAATCAAAATTACACGGTGCAGGAAAGGACCTTAGGATAATCATCAGGTAGGTGAATTTAAAAGTTCATTTAAAACAACTGAATCACTAGATTCCCCTCCAACACCACACTCAGATTGGCTGGCAGTAGCCACTTTTGCCTCTAAGATGAAACTCTGCTAATTGTTCATTAAAGAAAGTGAAGACCTGGCCAGGTGGCTCACATTTGTCATCCCAGCACTTTGGGAGGCTGAGGCAGGAGGATTACCTGATGCCAGGAGATCCAGACCAGCCTGGGAAATATAGTGGATCCCATCTCTACAAAAAAAAATACAAAAATTAGCTGGGTGTGGTGGCGTTTCTCTGTAGTTCCAGCTAGTTGGGAAGCTAAAGTGGGAGAATCCCTTGAGCCTGGGAGATCGAGGCTGCAGTGAGCTGTACTTGCATCACTGTACTCCAGCCTGGGTGACAGAGTGTGATCTTGTCTTAAAAAAACACAAAAAAGTAAGGTATCAGGACTTGGTGTATCTTCAGCACTTCACAGTAACAATGAAGGAGAGAAACACATTTGTGGAGAGGGGACTATGTTCACTCATTATCTACACATGATAGACAGATAGTCAGGAGCTTTATATACCCAACGAGCCTAAGGAAAAATGTTCCCTGTCATGACTCACAATCTTCCAGCCACCCTTCCTTGCACCTGTCTGGAGGGCTGGGGGACACAACTTATGGATCTCATCATCTCAAGGAGAAAGAAATATCAAATCCTTCAGTATCTCTTTTGGGGTACGCTCTCCTCTGTCTCCATGGAGGATAAGGCACTCAATATCTAGTAGCCGAATGTTGCATTTGTGTAATACAGAACTATCTGGGATAAAATAGAATTTGTTTCCTCTGAGACACAGGTAGAGGTATGTCCACACTGACCTGGGTGGCAGCCACCTCCTCCTGCAGTGCCAGGCAGGGCATGCTCACAGATCTGGGGAACCTCTGCTGCTCCTGGAGCCCAACCTCCTTCCTGGCACCCTGTCCCTCTGGTGGTTGTGACAGCTCACACTTTGCCTTGGGTCTCCCCTGCTTCTTTGCCTGCCCTTCTTCTGCCCACACTGCATATCTGTCTCCCACTGTCCCAACTATGACCATGATTACCTCCCCCTCCCTGCATTCTGTCTCTCCTAGGGCTCCTTGTCTGGGGTAAATGAACCCACAGCCTTTACATGGTAATTGGAAACAGAACCCAGGGCCTGTTCAATTCTCCCTCCCTCCACCACACTCACCTGTCCTCCTTAATGTTTCTGACGTTGGTGAGCTCCAAACTCAGCTCCTCCTGCACCTGCCAGCTGTAGGACCTGTGATAAGACACCTACCTTCTGCCTGGGACTCTGTCTCTCATCTATCATATAGGCATAATGATGATAGTGTCCTCCTTCCAAGGCTGGGGAGGACCAGGAGGCCAAGGTGATGGGCCACAAGCAGTAAAAACAGTTCCAATCCTGCCTCCACCTGGGGCTGGTGTTTCAAGCCCCTTGCGTGTGAATGGAGCTTTGATTCACACACAATGATTTGTTCTAAAATAGACTCCCCTCTGCCCTTCCCTTCCCCACATCTGTTTCCCCTCTGCACCATATAACGGTAACTGAGAAAGAACTGTCCCATTCCAAATCATCGTCCCCACCCCAGCCCCCAGGCCCTTGGTTGGTGAGACCCTTGATGGGCAGTCTCATGCTTCTGTCCAGGGGACTTTCCCACCGTTGATCCCCTGCATGGAGACTAAGTGGACTCTTCTATTCCCTGTCCATCACAGGGTCTACCGTGCACACATCTTCCTCATTCCTCCACGTTCCCCAGATGACGATTTCATCTGTGTCTCCTCCCACATACTCCCAAATGGACTGTCTCAGACCTAGAACTTGAAAATCGTTCAGAGAGCAAAGGCCAAGATGCCCAACCACCTGCTGCAGAATCCTGCTCCAGGACTGAAGTATATGGTCTCTATCAAAATAAAAACTGGAGGCCAGGCGCAGAGGCTCACACCTGAATCCTAGCACTTTAGGAGGCCAAGGTGGGAGGATCGCTTGAGCCCAGAAGTTCAAGATGGCATTGAGCTATGACCATGCCACTGCACTCCAGCCTGGACAGAGAAAGACCCCGTCTCTAGAAACAAACAAACAAACAAACAAAACCAACAGACAAAACCAACAACTGGAAACATCCTCCTCTAGAATGGTGGTCAGGAACATCTGTCTGCCTTGTTCCCTGATGTCTCTCCAGCACCTAGAACAGCGCTCAGCACAAGGATGCACTCATTAGGGTTTTGTTGAATAAATGACTCCTTTGACACAGCAATTGCACTTCTAGGAGTCTTTCCTAAAGAAATATTCACACACGTGCACAGAGCTGCGTGTACAATAATGAGAGGAGCAAACAACTGGGGAACGTTTGCAAAGTTTTATTAACTGTCAGTGACCGATACAAGGGAATAGGATGAGGGGAGTACATGCTGAACAGGAAACAGAATGAGGGGGGCTTGACCAGGATGCATGGCAACGGGGAAAAGCAGATGGGAGATGCTTATAGTGGTTCTTGGTGTGTGGGGGTGTGTGTGTGTGTAAATGCAGATGAAAAATTTGAAGTTAAACACTCACACCTGCCCTCAGTAGTCACATCTGGGGAGAGAAGAGGGTAGTGCTGTTCTATGCAGAGAATACCTGACTATACTTGTTTTCTGAGGTAGGTGCATGGATACACAAACCGAAATACGCATTTAGTAAGTCTTCCTCATCAATAAAATTACTAATGTCTAACAGAATGGCACACTGTAAGAAAATACAACAGAAACGCTAACATCGAAGTCTTGGCACACTAAGAAAAACGACGGTCAACTTTTCACTGTTGTGAACACTTGCTTTCACTTCCTATACACCTGATGACGAGGGGTCCGCAGCCATGCCCATGATCTTGAAAGGTCACCACGTTCTGCTTCTCATCATGGGCATGTGTCATATCCCTGAGGCTGAGGCAAAAAGAGAGAAGGAAGGTAACTGGCAGTGAGTTCCCACTGCCCAATAACTCAATCTCAACTCTTCCTGACCTGCAGACCCTGCACACTCTGATTCTGCCCTACCTCAGGACTTACACATGCCTTCCATGGTTCCTCGAAGTGAACTATCTGCTCATGCCACAGTACCTTCCTCGCCTGGGTTATCAATTCCTAGGTTAGAGGAAGGTGTGGCCCACATATCAGGGCTGACCTGGGATTTGGGAACCCACAGCATCCTACGTAGGAAGGATCCCTGGATATACAGGGCAGGGAGTAGAAAGAGCATGGGAAGGCCGGGCACAGTGGCTCACGCTTGTAAACCCAGCATTTTGAGAGGCTGAGGCATGCGGATCACGAGGTCAGGAGTTCAAGAACAGCCTTACTAACATGGTGAAACCCCGTCTCTACTAAAAACACAAAAATTTGCCAGGTGTGGTGTTGCACATCTGTAATCCCAGCTACTCAGGAGGCTGAAGAAGGAGGGAGGTAGAGGTTGCAGTGAGCCAAGATCACGCCAGTACACTCCAGCCTAGGTGACAGAGCAAGACTCCCTCTCAAAACAAAAGAGAAAGAGAAAGAAAGAAAGAAAGAAAGAAAGAAAGAAAGAAAGAAAGAAAGAAAGAGAAAGAGAAAGAAAGAAAGAAAGAAAGAAAGAAAGAAAAGAAAGAAAAGAAAGAAAAGAAAGAAAGAAAAGAAAGAAAGAAAAAAAGAAAGAAAGAAAGAAAGAAAGAAAGAAAGAAAGAAAGAAAGAAAGAAAGAAAGAAAGAAAGAAAGAAAGAAAGAAAGAGAAAGAGCGAGCATGGGAAATCTCATCATTCAGCCTCAATGCTGTACCCTAGAAAATTACGAGAAGGGAATGATTTGGGGAACAAGTGACAAGATGGGATACCGGTACCGTAACAGAACAGCGGCACATCTGCAGGGATGTGGGGGATGAGCTGAAGGTTCACTTACGGAGTTACTCGTCATCTTCCTCAGGGTCGCTGATCTCTTCATAAATCACCAACTGCTTTCTCTCACACAGTCTGTGGGTCCAGGCATGTTTCCCCCTTTTGGGTCCTACGATGGGGAACAGTTGGAAGATGAGGGTTAGGTAGATTGGAGAGTGCTAGGCTCTGTTTTCTAAAAAAAGGAGATGCCACCCCCCGCACCAACTGCCCATGGGCCTTCTTCATCCAGTTTTTCACATCATCTGGCTTAGAGTCTGAAATCTTAGACCCACACCAATATAGGCCAAATGCCAATTAAAGTTTTAGCTTCTGGTTCCTTCTGTTGTCAGGTTTAGATTCCCAACCTCTTCACTTACAGGAACATTCATGGATACCTCCTTTCATGCTGCACATATTTGTTAAGGGCACACAGGCAGACCTTGTTTTATGGCACCTCATTTTCATACTGCTTCACAGATACCACAATATTTTTTTGGAGATTCTCACCAATTTTATACTTTTCCATTACTATTATATCTGTTATGGTGATCTGTCATCAGTGAGTTTTGAGGTTATTATTGCAAAGGTTTTTGTTGCTTTTTAGTCTTTTAAAATAATTTTTGTTTTTTATTTTGTGGGTCCACAGTAGGTGTATATACTTATGGGGTATGTAAGATGCTTTGACACAGGCATGCCATGCGTAATAATCACATCATGGAAAATAGGGTCTCCATGCCCTCAAACATTTATCCTTGTGTTACAAACAATCCGTTTACACTCTTTTAGTTTTTTTTTAAAATGTACCACTAAGTTATCATTGACTATAATCACCCTGTTCTATGTAATTGCTTTGGGGGTACCAGGAACTGCACCCATAGAAGATGACAAACTTAATTGACCAATGTTGTGTGGTCTGACTGCTCCACCGATGAGCTGTTCCCCATCTCTCCTCCTTCTCTCGGGCCTCCCTATTTCCTGAGACACAGCAACACTGAAATTAGGACAATGAACAACCCTACAATGGCTGCTAAGTGTTCAAATGAAAGGAAGAGTCACATGTCTCTCACTTTAAATCAGAAGCTAGAAATGGCTAAGCTGAGTGAGGAAGGCATGCTGAAAGCCAAGACAGGCTGAAAACTCGGCCTCTTGTACCAAACAGACAAGCTGTGAGTGCAAATGAAAAGTTCTTGAAGGAAATAATAGAATATAATGCAAAGGAAAAGTATTAGTATTATAACTAATACTCCAGTAAACACACGAATAAGAAAGCAAAACTGCCTTACTGCTGAAATAGAGGAAGTTTGAGTGGTCAGGATAGAACATGAAACCAGCCACAACATTCCCTTAAGCCAAAGTCTAATTCAGAGCAACACCCAAACTCTCTTCCAGTCCATGAAAGCTGAGAGAGGTGAAGAAGCTGCAGAAGAAACGTGTGAAGCTAGCAGAGGTTGGTTCATGAGGTTTAAGGAAAGAAGCCGTCTCCACAGCATAAAAGTGCAAGGTGTAGCAGGAAACCCTGATGGAGAAGCTGCAGCAACTTATCCAGAAGATCTAGCTAAGATCACTGATGGAGGTGGCTCCACTAAACAACAGATTTTCAATGTAGATAAAATAGCCTTCTATTGGAAGGAGATGCCATCTAAAACTTTCACAGCTAGAGAGGATTCACTCCAACTTTGAAGGAAGTTCTAATGTGGGTAAAAGCTATCCAATAGCATCACATACTACAGAGATATGCTTCATGAAAGGGAGAGCTAATCGATGTGGCAAGTTTCATTGTTGTGTTCAAGAACCTGCCACAGCCACTCCACCCTTCAGCAACCACCACCTTGATCAGCCAGCAGCCATCAACACCGAGCAAGACCCTCCACCAGCAAAAAGAGCATGACTCCCTGAAAGCTCAGAAGATTGTTAGTATTTTTAATAATGAATTATTTTAAAATTAAGGTATGTACCTTTTTTACACATAACGCTTGCACACTTAGTACACTACAGTGTAGTGTAAACATAATGTTTTTATGCACTGCAAAACCAAACAAAAAAAAATGTGTGTGACTCTCTTTGTTGCAGTGGTCCGGAACCGAACCTGCAATATCTCTGAAGTACACCTGTATTGGGTATCAGGCATTGAGCTGAGTAAGACATGATCCCAGGTTATCACAGACAGAATTGCTTGAGCACATTTCATGTCATCAGGCTTCTAGATTTAATTTAATGCCTCCAAACAATTTATGAACTACGATTCTTTATTTCCATCTTATGGACTAGGAATCTGGAATTGAGAAAATTTGGAAGACTTGCCCCAAGTCACGTGGTTTTTTATATGGATGACAACTCCAGTCTGTGTCTCTGGAAGTCATGTCTAGCATCTCATCTGGAGCTGGGTGAGCTCCTCAGCCCAGCCTGGACCCAGGCTTGTCTGGGATCCATGCCATACACCCAGTCCCCACACCTGAACATAGCCAGGGAAGCCAGAGGGGTTGTTCCCAAACTGTTTCCTCTTACCAGATCTCTTGTTAGTCTTCTCAGAGGTATTTGCTTTCCCCGGGGGGCACAGCTGTTTCCCATCATTTTTTGGACCCGATGTTTCTGACACTCCCTTCAAATCATTTCCTTCTTCTGCTTGTGCTGGCTTCTTGGGCATGATCTTTATAATATGAAGGTCACAGATAAACAGTATCAGTCACATTTCTATAGTGCTTTTGAGCTTACACAGCGTCTTCACATGCATTATCTTAATCAATGTTCTCAAAAACGCTGGGAGAGTTACACATGCCTAAATTAGGAGAAACTTGGCAAGTTAGAAGCAAAAGGATTGGCCTGAATGGATGGGGTCGCCCGGGCTAGAATGGTTATCCTCACACTCTTTTAAGACTGATACTCTTGCGAACAGTAAAAATCTCCATGTAATTGAGAGTTTGGTATACAAAAGATCTGGAGAAAAATGGCATTCTTAGAATTCACAAGGTCTACAAAAGGAAGAGCTTCTATAAAGTACAAGGCATCCCATATAAGCTTGTAGACAGCTCCTGGGAGAGTAAATGTAAAAACATAGGGAGGCTACAAAACACTGCTGGGAAAGATGGAGTAGAGAGATGAGTACAGGGAAGGGAGAGGTAAAGAAATGGTTTGTTGAAATTAATGCAGGCAGCAAAGAAAGCAGATATGACATACCACCCTACAAAGGCACCAACATTGAATGTGGAATTAAGTGAGGTGGTACTCATAACAATTCTGGTTGCATTGGGATGTGTCACTGACCAACAATGTTAAACTACCTTTTTTTTTTTAATTAACTTAATTTATTTATTTATTATTATACTTTAAGTTCTAGGGTACATGTGCATAAGTGCAGGTTTGTTACATATGTATACTTGTGCCATGTTGGTGTGCTGCACCACAACTGTCAGCACCCATCAACTCGTCATTTACATCAGGTATAACTCCCAATGCAATCCCTCCCCCCTCCCCCCTCCCCATGATAGGCCCCGGTGTGTGATGTTCCCCTTCCTGAGTCCAAGTGATCTCATTGTTCCATTCCCACCTATGGTGAGAACATGCGGTGTTTGGTTTTCTGTTCTTGTGATAGTTTGCTAAGAATGATGGTTTCCAGCTGCATCCATGTCCCTACAAAGGACACAAACTCATCCTTTTCTATGGCTGCATAGTATTCCATGGTATATATGTGCCACATTTTCTTAATCCAGTCTGTCACTGATGGACATTTGGGTTGATTCCAAGTCTTTGCTATTGTGAATAGTGCCGCAATAAACATACGCGTGCATGTGTCTTTATAGCAGCATGATTTATAATCCTTTGGGTATATACCCAGTAATGGGATGGCTGGGTCATATGGTACATCTAGTTCTAGATCCTTGAGGAATCGCCATACTGTTTTCCATAATGGTTGAACTAGTTTACAATCCCACCAACAGTGTAAAAGTGTTCCTATTTCTCCACATCCTCTCCAGCACCTGTTGTTTCCTGACTTTTGAATGATCGCCATTCTAACTGGTGTGAGATGGTATCTCATTGTGGTTTTGATTTGCATTTCTCTGATGGCGAGTGATGATGAGCATTTTTTCATGTGTCTGTTGGCTGTATGAATGTCTTCTTTTGAGAAATGTCTGTTCATATCCTTTGCCCACTTTTTGATGGGGTTGTTTGTTTTTTTCTTGTAAATTTGTTTGAGTTCTTTGTAGGTTCTGGATATGAGCCCTTTGTCAGATGAGTAGATTGCAAAAATTTTCTCCCATTCTGTAGGTTGCCTGTTCACTCTGATGGTAGTTTCTTTTGCTGTGCAGAAGCTCTTTAGTTTAATGAGATCCCATTTGTCAATTTTGGCTTTTGCTGCCGTTGCTTTTGGTGTTTTAGACATGAAGTCTTTGCCCATGCCTATGTCCTGAATGGTACTACCTAGGTTTTCCTCTAGGATTTTTATGGTATTAGGTCTAACATTTAAGTCTCTAATCCATCTTGAATTAATTTTCGTATAAGGAGTAAGGAAAGGATCCAGTTTCAGCTTTCTACTTATGGCTAGCCAATTTTCCCAGCACCATTTATTAAATAGGGAATCCTTTCCCCATTTCTTGTTTCTCTCAGGTTTGTCAAAGATCAGATGGCTGTAGATGTGTGGTATTATTTCTGAGGACTCTGTTCTGTTCCATTGGTCTATATCTCTGTTTTGGTACCAGTACCATGCTGTTTTGGTTACTGTAGCCTTGTAGTATAGTTTGAAGTCAGGTAGCGTGATGCCTCCAGCTTTGTTCTTTTGACTTAGGATTGTCTGGAAGATGCGGGCTCTTTTTTGGTTCCATATGAACTTTAAAGCAGTTTTTTCCAATTCTGTGAAGAAACTCATTGGTAGCTTGATGGGGATGGCATTGAATCTATAAATTACCTTGGGCAGTATGGCCATTTTCACGATATTGATTCTTCCTATCCATGAGCATGGTATGTTCTTCCATTTGTTTGTGTCCTCTTTTATTTCACTGAGCAGTGGTTTGTAGTTCTCCTTGAAGAGGTCCTTTACATCCCTTGTAAGTTGGATTCCTAGGTATTTTATTCTCTTTGAAGCAATTGTGAATGGAAGTTCATTCATGATTTGGCTCTCTGTCTGTTACTGGTGTATAAGAATGCTTGTGATTTTTGCACATTAATTTTGTATCCTGAGACTTTGCTGAAGTTGCTTATCAGCTTAAGGAGATTTTGGGCTGAGACAATGGGGTTTTCTAAATATACAATCATGTCATCTGCAAACAGGGACATTTGACTTCTTCTTTTCCTAACTGAATACCCTTGATTTCTTTCTCTTGCCTAATTGCCCTAGCCAGGACTTCCAACACTATGTTGAATAGGAGTGGTGAGAGAGGGCATCCCTGTCTTGTGCCAGTTTTCAAAGGGAATTTTTCCAGTTTTTGCCCATTCAGTATGATATTGGCTGTGGGTTTGTCATAAATAGCTCTTATTATTTTGAGGTACGTTCCATCAATACCGAATTTATGGAGCGTTTTTAGCATGAAGGGCTGTTGAATTTTGTCAAAAGCCTTTTCTGCATCTATTGAGATAATCATGTGGTTCTTGTCTTTGGTTCTGTTTATATGATGGATTATGTTTATTGATTTGCGAATGTTGAACCAGCCTTGCATCCCAGGGATGAAGCCCACTTGATCATGGTGGATAAGCTTTTTGATGTGCTGCTGAATCCGGTTTGCCAGTATTTTATTGAGGATTTTTGCATCGATGTTCATCAGGGATATTGGTCTAAAATTCTCTTTTTTTGTTGTGTCTCTGCCAGGCTTTGGTATCAGGATGATGTTGGCCTCATAAAATGAGTTAGGGAGGATTCCCTCTTTTTCTACTGATTGGAATAGTTTCAGAAGGAATGGTACCAGCTCCTCCTTGTACCTCTGGTAGAATTCAGCTGTGAATCCATCTGGTCCTGGACTTTTTTTGGTTGGTAGGCTATTAATAATTTTTTTTTTTTTTTTTTTTTTTTTTTTTTGAGACACAGTCTTACTCTCTTGCCAGGCTGGAGTGCACTAGCGCCATCTTGGGCTCACTGAAACATCCAACCCTGCATTCAAGCAATTATCCTCCCTCAGCCTCCAGAGTATCTGGGACTACAGACAGGCGCTACCACGCCCTGCTACATTTTGTGTTTTTACTAGAGATGAGGTTTCACCATGTTGGCCAGGATGGTCTCGATCACTTGACCTCGTGAACTGCCTGCCTCGGCCTCCTAAAGTGCTGGGATTACATTCGTGAGCCACGGCGCCCAGTCCTTAAGCTACTTGTTATTCAGCTCCCTCACTTATGAAATAGAGAACAATACATGTAAAATAGGCTAAGGGAAAGTCCTCTCTGAGATGTACACACTGTTTAAATGTAGTAATAATAGCAATTAACACCTTTCTGGAGGAATGTGATCCTCCACATTCCTTTACCCTCTAAACCAGAGTTGAATCTGCACTTGTGGGATCACTCATTCAAGGGCCTCTGAGGGATCCCCTGGGCTGGGACTGGGGCTTCCCGGATGCCCCAGGTGCAGACAGGGCCCTCAAAGAGCTCACATAGGGAAGGGTCAACAGTCAAAGGGACTCTTAGGCCATGTGAGTGGCCCCAGTTACAGAGCAGAGGTCAGCTGGTCCTTCCTGTTGCGAGAATGAGTGTCTAAACAGAAGCACCAGCAGGCCCTATGGGGTAAAGCCCTAGTGAGCAACATCTAAATCTCATAAACAAATGCAAACGTGAATGAGCTTTAAATGGCTTGGAGCACTGAATTAGACTACCACTGCCACTGCGCCTCAGGAACATTCTTTAACATCTCTGTACCCCGATAGCCTCATTTTATTATTATGTTGCTAATAACTATGATCTGTAACATGAACTATGATTCTTTACTTCCAATGCATGGACCAGGAATCTGGAGCTCAGAGAACTTAGAAGATTTGCGCCAATTCACATGGCTATTATATGGATGACAATCGAAGTGCGTGACTCTTTATTATTTGGAGATAATAATAGAAACAATGTCATAGAGGTCTCCTTAAAGATTAAATAAATTAATCTATGTGAACTGCTTAAAATAGTATCTGGCATCACTATGAAAACAAAAGAAGTATTAAGGATCACAACTCTTAGTATTATCAAGCTGTCGATGCTACATCAGGTGTTGTGATAGACATGGGGAGGAGGAGGCAGTGAGGGCATTTTTTACATTCTCCCACTGTTACCAGTGTTCACATCCGTGAAGGGACAAAGGTTCTCTGGTCCTTTAGATTTGAGAGATACTCACCTTCGGGAAGATTCCCTGGAGCATGCTGAAAGTTGAAAGCTGAGGACGTTCAACTGAAAGAGAATACATCAGAATTTTTCTTTGTTGGTAAAGATTTCCAAACTCTACAGAGATTTCTGTCACATCAGGGTATTTTGCAGTGGAGGGTTATGAGTCCACTCATTACTGAGGAGTTATTTGAGATTTGCTTCTGAATTATGTTTAGTCATGGTTGATGCATTTATCTGTGGCATCAATTCAGAATTATCCATTTCATTTTTTATCACGTGGGAACTAAACCCCACCACAGTCTCATCTTATTCCATTATATATATTTTACTTTTTCCCAAACAAATAAATTGATTGGTTGGGAACTTGAACTGTATCCACTTAAGATGTACAACAACTAAAAATCACTGTACACTTCAAATGGGTGAATCTTATGGTATGTCAGTTAAGCTGTTAAATGTGTGATGAACCATGGATGATTTAGTCCAGTGGCTCTGAAATATTTTCAGTATAAAGACACTCCTTTAATGTCAAAAACTTGGCAGATACTCAAGCACTGGATTTTCAGATCTCTTATAGTGATTGTGGGGGATTGTAGAATCTGGCCTGTGTAGATGGGGAGTAATAGGTCTATTGGAGGCAGTTTGGACATTCTGACCTTGTCTTATAATTGTAGCAAGTGAACACATATGTCCCCTTAATAGTCCTGAAATGCACAAAGATCTCTATGCAAGAACCTGTCTTTTTTCACCCTATGTTATCTCTGCTCACTGAGAAGTGGGAAAGCTCTCTGTGTGTTGGATGAGGGATCACTCTTTCAAACTCTCTTCCAAGCTCACCATGGAGAATTAGGGTTGTTTGGGAATGAGAAGACTGTTTGGTTTTGATAAAATACAGAAAAACAGCGATCTTTATTACATAGTGTGTTCATCACCCTCACTCCTAAGATACCTATCCAATCTACATGCTGTTAATGAAACAAACTCTGGAAGTTTTTGGCAGATCTACAGTTTTAACATTTTCTTTCTTTTTTTTTTTTTTTTTCACTTGTAACATTTTCTTAACTGCCCTTTCATTCATTAACAGTGCTTAGGAAGAACAACATGTCCTTTAAAAAGGAAATATTTGAAACACACAGAAAAATATAGGAAATAATATTGAGTCCAGTCGGATCTCAACATTATCCCACAGATATATTAGGTCTGATTTATTTATTCAAAATATTAGAAATACTACAAACAGGCCAGGCGTGGTAGCTCATACTCGTAATCCCAGCACTTTGGGAGGCTGAGGTGGGTGGATCACCTGAGGTCAGGCAGTTAGACCAGCCTGGCCAACAAGGTGAAACCCCATCTCCACCAAAAATAAAAAAAATTAGCTGGGTATGGGGGCGGGTGCCTGTAACCCAAGCTACTCAGGAGGCCGAGGCAGGAGAATCACTTGAATCCGGGAGGTGAAATTTGGAGTGAGCTGAGATTGCTTTATTGCACTCCAGCCTGGGCGACAAGAGCGAACCTCCATCTCAAAAACAAACAAAACACACTATCAACAAGTCACGACTGAAGCTGTCTGTGCAGCGTTCACCAATCCCTGCCCTCCCTCCCTCCTCCACTTACAGTCAGTCACCTTAATTTGATGGCTTTTTATTCACATTCATGTTTGTATACATTTACCATTTACTTATTATCCACAAAAATATATATTCTTATTTTACATGTTTTAAAATTTTATATGAATGGCCTCTATAGTTAACTTTCTGCATGCGATTTTTTTTTCACTCAGCACTTGTGTGTGTGAGGGAACAAATGCCTGAGGATCTTTCCCAGGTCGCTGAGCTGAAAAGCAGTTGGGCTTCAGGAGACCCTTTCCAGCCCCTTCCCATCTACTCACCCTGATTCCCACGGTTACAGTCATTATCAGAATCATTCCTCTGGAAGTCTGTGGCCCGTTTATTATGCATGAAAGGTGGGAGGGTGACCCTGAAACCTAGAAAGAAGCCAAATGTTTATTACTTAAGGGACAAGCTTAGGCCTGGTATGGTGGTTCATGTCTGTAGTACCAGCACTTTGGGAGGCTGAGGCAGGAGGATTGCTTGAGGCCAGGAATTCAAGGCTGCAGTGAGCTATGATAGCACTACTGCACTCTAGCCTAGGTGACAGAGTGAGACTCTGACTCAAAAAGAGAGAGAGAGACAAGCTGAGAGAAGGTAGGCTGGGTGTGTCTGGGGTGGGGGTTGGGGGTTTCCAGGATGCCACAGAGACAGTTGGGCTCATCAGAAAAGATGCCTATGGGAGAGAAACATGCAGGATCCAGATATGAGCTCCACTGTGGCCAGTTCCTGCCCTCAGCCCTGACAGGATACGGAAGAGCAGAACACCTAGAAGCTGCCTTGTGATTTTTCCCTGCACAAAAGGAAAATGTGGGGTACTTTCTGCAGCCTAAGAAGTAGCCGAAGCAGGAAAAGGGATGCTCATGTGTCCCTAGTCTTATCTGTACCTAGAACTTTCTGTTACCTAGTTTAGTCATGGCCTCATACTTTCTCTTCATATACACATAGATGATTTTCTGGGAGTATTTCATCTTTTCCCACTCTTTCTTAGAGAAGCATTTGGCAATATCATCAAAAGCCTAGAAAAAAAAAAGAAAAAGAAATTTTGGCAGTGACTCAGCTAGGCATGTCTGCCATTCAGCTGGAGCCGCTTCCTGTGTGCTGGATCTGGGAAGTGGGGATGATAATCCGTCCTGGTTGATGCCATGGCTAACTGAGACAACATCAGAGACCTACCCTAGCTTCTCCCCTGCCACACAGTAGGGCTTTAATACTGCTGGCTGGCTCTTGTCCCACCTTGTAGAATGGAGTGAGAGTCACCAAACGTAGTGCAAGGTCACAGACTTGTCTCCAGGGATGCTAGGTGATGACAGAGCAAAGGTGGAAGGCTCCCAAGGGTCCAGATCTCCCCCAAGACCCTGCTCCTTGTCCCCAGTATCTCTGTCCTTCCCTCCTCAGAAACCTGCTCACCCCACACTGTCCCCTGGGCCACTACTGTACCCTCTCCAGGTCACCTCACCTTTTGTATCTTCTCTGGTATTTGAGCACCAACATTAGGTCTCCTTGCAAAGGCGTCATCGCTGTTCATGGCACTGGGAGTAGTCTGACCTGCAAGAGAAACTGCCTGAGACTTTCCAGGTGCAAGACCTTTGGTCCTGTGGAGGGAGAAATCAGTGACGGCTGGCCACACTCAGTCACCTGGAATCAGGTGCTGCATTTCTCCATCAGGGGCTTATCTGTCCCTGAGTAAGGATATGGGGAGAAATCAGATGACAACAGGGAACCAGCGATCTCTGGGAGAAGTATTGATTGGGGATAGCAGGTTTCCTTAGGGCAAAGCAGCCTTGAGTCTTTGAGAGGGGTTTAGCTAATGTTGTCAGTACTTTCCCTGGGGCTAGGCTTACCTAGACCCTTCTTGGGGAGGCAGGGATGTGACTGTGTAATTGTATTGAGTAGGGGCGTTCTGACACCCACACTGAATAAATAAAGGAAGGGAAGTAAGTCCCAGAGATAACATGGTCTCTCTGGTGATGGATCTGATCAGGCAGAGGGATGGGGGATTCTGTTCTGTTGAAGAGAAATGAGCATCACTAATATGAACTGGTTCAGAGGTTATTACTGGGTGATTTGTAAATTATTAGAAGGAAGAGAGCTAGAACTTCTGAGACTACAAGAGCCCACCAACACTTAGAGAGAATGTGGGGCATTTCAAGATGCAGCACTCAGCCAGGGGCAGTGGCTCACGCCTGTAATCCCATCTCATTGGGAGACCGAGGCATGCAGATCGCTTCAGCCCGGGGGTCGAGGCCAGGCTGGGAAAAATAGCAAAACCCCGTGTCTACAAAAAATACAAAAAATTAGCTGGGGGTGGTGGAGCAGGCCTGTATCATCCCAGCACTTTGGGAGGCCAAGGTGGGCAAATTGCTTGAGCCCAGGAGCTTGAGACTAGCCTAGTCAACATAGCGAAACCATGTCTACTAAAAAACCCAAACAAAAAAAAAAACCTTAGCAGAAGCCAGGTGGTGTGCACCTGTAGTCTCAAGGCCTAGGTGAGACGATCACTTGAGCCCGGGAGGAAAGATTTCAGTGAGGTTTCTGTTTTTTTTTTTTTTTTTTTTTTTTTTTGGAGACAAGGAGACAAGGTCTTGCTCTGTTGCCCAGGCTGGAGTGCAGTGGCGTGATCTTGGTTCACTGCAACCGCTGCCTCGTGGGTTCAAGCGATCCACCAGCTGTGGCCTCCAAAAGTGCAGGGATTACAAGCGTGAGCCACCACGCCCGGCCCAACTTTCTTAAGTTATTACAGGGTTTCCAGGAAAAATCCCATACCTGAAAAAGTTAGAAACTGACAGAAAGGATTTGAGATGGCGACCTGCCTCATACACACTCCTTATTAAAACTAGATAACAAATGCATCTTGGAGGAGGGGAGGGGTAGGAAGAATGGAAAAAGAAAATCAGCGAATGCTTACTCAAATTTTGGAAGAATCGAAAGAGAATATCAGAGCATGCGTACTCTGCGGAAGAACAGAAACAGAAAGACAGAGCATGCACACTCTGAACTTAGTAGCCAATCCCTAGGGATGCTTTAGGTGGGAAAATCAGAGTCTCCACCCTAACTTTGAGAAGATTCTGTCCCTGGAGGCTGGACTAATAGAAGCCACATCAGCTTCCCTTGTTCCACCTACACTTCTGACTTCTGATTGGCCAGATGGAGTTCACTAACTGCCCTGATTCGTTCATCATCCTTGGGCAGTGACATTGCAGAATATTGTCTCCTCCTCCAGCCACACTTTGTTGCCACTGCGACAAAGTGGGTGGTCCTCAGGTGCCGTCAGGAGATTTTGATCTCTCTGAAGACTGTTCCTGGATCTTGGGTTAAACATCTGTATTCTAGTCTGAACAGAGAGAAGAAAAAAATTGTCGGATCTGTGATTTTTCTACTTGTAAGACACAATGTTTTCCAAACTAGCACATTTGCAGAGAGCTTTGCTGTACTTAGTCGTGATGTTCATTCTTCAGTGGCTTCTATATCTGTTGCAACAGAAAAAGTCAGTCCAAAGCCCTCCAACCTCTGATTACATTTTTGAAAGGGAATCTAGGTGTGGTGTGCAAAATTACCATCCTTTACCTGTAGCCCTGGAGAGAGGAAAATGTACTTACTTATGTGATGTGATTGTGGTATTGGTTACATCCGCCTTGGCCAATCCTCCTTCTTCGTTCTCGGGACTACAGGCGTGAACCACCCCACCCCCACTAATATTTTTTGGTTTTTTATTTTTTAATAGAGACCGTTTCCCTATGTTGGCCAGGCTGGCCTCAACGTCCTGGGCTCAAGGGATCCTCCCACCGCAGCCTTGAGACTACAGGCATGCACCACCCTGCCCATGCTTTTTTTTTTTTTTTTCTTTTTTTTTTTAGTAGAAAAAGTTTCTCTATGTTGACCAGGCTGGCCTCAACCCCTCCTGGGCTCAAGAGATCCTTCCACCACGGCCTTGGGACTACAGGTATGCGCCACCCTGCCCACGCTTTTTAAAATTTATTTATTTATTTATTTTTAGTAGATACCGACTTTCGACAAGTTGCCCTGGCTGGCCTCAATCTCCTGGACTCAAGTGATATTTCCCCTCGACCTCAGGACTACAGGCGTGTGCCATTTGGCCCTGTTCATTTTGATTATTTATTTATTTATTTATTTATTTATTTATTTATTTTAGGAGAGACAGGCTTTCGCTATGTTGGTCAGGCTGGTATCGACCTCCTGGGCTCAAGCAATACTCCCGCTTTGGCCTCGGACCTACAGGGGTGAGCCACCCTGCTCACGCTATTTTTTGTTGTTGTTGTTCTTGTTGTTAGTAGAAATGGGATTTTGCTATGTTGTCCAAGCTGGCCTCGACCTCCTGGGCTCAAGCAATCCTCCTGCCTTGGCCTCAGGACTACAGGCTCACACCATCCCGCCCCCACTAATATTTTTAATTTTTCTAGTAGAGATAGTTTCGCTATGTTGTCCAGGCTGGTCTCTACCTCCTGGGCTCAAGCGATCCTCCCGCCTCGGCCTTGGGACTACAGGCATGCACCACCCTGCCTTTTGCTGTGTTTCCCAGGCTGGTCTTGACCTCCTGGGCTCACTCAATGATTTGAACCCGGGAAGCGGAGGTTGCATTGAGCTGAGATCACACCACTGCACTCCAGCTTGGGCGACAGAGCAAGACTGTCAAATAAATGAATACAGGAAAGAGAGAAAAGAAAAGGAGAGGAAAGGAGAGGACCAGCTGAATCTCCATAAGAACAGTAAGCTTTGTGGTATTTTTAACTTACTCTCATCCCATCTCGTGCTCCCAGCTTAGTTCTGTTCATTGCTGATGAAATTCAGATAGGATTGGCCAGAACTGGTAGATGGCTGGCTGTTGATCAGAAAGGCCCTTTCCGGGGGCTGACACTCTGTGTCTGTGATGCTGTGGGATGATGACATAATGCTCACCATTAAGCCAGGGGAACATGGGTCCACATATGGTGGCAATCCACTAGGTTGCTGAGTGGCCATTGCAGCCCTTGAGGTTTTAGAAGAAGAAAACCTTGCTGAAAATGCAAGGTTTTTATCTCAAGGGTATTATCTTGAGAAACGAACCCGTGAAGCTACCTTCTGATGTTGTGACTGCCGTAAAAGGAAAATGATTATGTTGTTTATTCATTTATTTATTTATTTATTTTGAGTAAGAGGTTCACTCTGGTTGCCCAGGCTGGAGTGCAATGGCGCGATCTTGGCTCACTGCAACTTCTGCCTCCTGGGTTGAAGCGATTCTCCTGCCTCAGCCTCCTGAGTAGCTGGGATTACAGTCACGTGCCCCTATTCCCAGCTAATTTTTGCATTTTTAGTAGAAACGGGGTTTCGCCATATTGGTCAGTTGATTCGAACTCCAGAACTCAGGTGATGCACCTGCCTCGGCCTCCCAAAATGTTGGGATTAGAGGCGTGAGCCACTGTGCCGGGGAGGAAAAGAATTATTAAATGCTATTGTTATTCAAGAAAACAAAGATTGTGATGCTTGGAAGGTATGTCTACGACTTCGAGATTATGGACTTCTGGCCAAGCCAACCCATGGTGACATCATCAGGTTTCGCCTCTGCTGGTGGTCAAGGAGGATGAGATTCGAGAGTCCAGTGAAATCATTCAGAAGGCCATCTTGTCATTCTGAGGGTAGCAGCTGTTTTCGGTGGTCCCTGGGAGCCAGCTGGAGACAGGTGGTCCTCTGCTCTTAATGCAGGCACATTTCACTCCCATGTGTCTTCAAAATCTTTTTGTGGAATATATGTTTTTCAGTTGATACAAAAATATATGTTTTTTTCACTTGATACATGATAGAACAACGTTTTTGAACCTGCCTTTTGCTTTGTAACGTAAGTAAGAGAATGTAATGGCATCTATATTCAGTGAAAATGTTTTGATGTGCAGAACATGGCCGAGTGCAGTGGTTCATGCTTGTAATCCCAGCATTTTGGGAGGGCAAGGTGGGCGGATCACTTGAGGTCAGGAGTTTGAGAACAGCCTGGCCAACACTGAGAAAACCCATCTCTACTAAAAATACAAAAATTAACTAGGTGAGTTGGTGGGTGCCTGTAGTCCTAGCTACATGGGAGACTGAGACAGGAGAATCACTTGAACCTGGGAGGCAGATGTCGCAGTGAGCTGAGATTCTGCCACTGCACTCCAGCCTAGGTGACAGAGTGAGAATCCCTCTCAGAAAAAAAAAAAAAGAAGAAGAGGTACAGAACATTTTCATCACCACAATGCTATCCCTTGTGCTACTCATTTTTAGTAATACTCACTCTCCTCCCATCCACCATTCCTAACCCCTGGCAACCACTAAACACTTTTTCATTTCCACAATTTTGTCTTTTCTACAATGCTATACAAATGAAATCTTATAGTATGTAACGTTTTCGGGGCTTATGCCACTCAGCATAATTCCATGGAGATTCCTCCAAGATATTAATATTTGTGTATCAATAGTTCATTGTTGCTGTTCTTGTTGTTGAGACAGATTCTTGCTCTGTCACCCAGGCTGTAGTGCAGTGGCATGATCTCGGCTCAC